GCAGTCTAAAATATACAAACGATAAGAAAAGATACCACAGATTTGATTTGAGCACAGACTGAGACATTTTCTTCAGATGTTACTCAAAGCAGTTCAAGTGAGGACACATATTTCGGGCTGCATGTGGACTCTGGGGAGAGATAATAAAATTAATGTCACATGGACCCTTGCTGAAGTGCAAGGCCAGCGTTACGCTTTACACATTTGCGAACTACACTACAAAGAGCAATTGTGCACATGCTCGCGAGTAGTGTGCATGTGCAGAATATGCAGGTACAATTTACAGTGCATGTCTGCAAGGGATTCCTCCTAGAGGATTCCAAGTAGACTAGAAAGTAATACAATAGCAACAGCTACATGTCCGTGGTGTCCACAACTGTCCATGCACATCTGCAAAAGAGTTCATTGGCCTCACACATACAGTAGATATGAAGTGGCCCTGCCATGCATTTTGGGTCTTGTGCTAACCTGTTCTAAAACAATCACGAGTGTGTTGGAGTTAGAAGGAGGCTTAAAACTGTGTGCCATCTGTATAACAACAAAAAACAAACAAACAAACAAACAAACAAAACACTTGAAATGAGTTACTACATGGCTTGGGGAAAACTAAATAGGACCAAAAATAGAGCCCTGGTGCACACCAGCATCTGCATGAATTAGGATATAATTTAAATATCTTAAAATAGAATTTTAGCATTTAATTTTCATCAAAAAGCTGGCTGAGCAATATGTAGGATGTCAAATTTGTTATGATATTTGCAGCAGCTACTTAGTGACTAAAGCATGTATGTACCCAATACAAGAAGAAATGATGGGTCAAACTTGCCTTTTGATTTTAAGCTCACTCAGTCTGAACAGTGTGAACCTGATAGTAGGCCGCTGAAAGAAAGGGATGTTGGAACAATTTGAAGCAGGCCAGATGAGAGCTGTTGTGTTCTCTGATTCTTCTATAAAAATAGAAAGCTATGCAGGAAGGCTGAATGTCCAACCTGATTGTAACACCTTATCAGGGAAGAATTTAGTGGGAACTTACTTGGAGTACAGGAAGCAATATACCCAGGCAAAACAGCACACTATGGGACGCCCCTATAGCTCACCTGGTTTAGTGGACGACCCATAAACAGGGGCTGTAGTTCCCCGACGCAGCGGTCATGAGTTCAACTTGAGTTCGCTCACGACAGTTTGCTGCAGGTCTTCCCCCCCTCTTATCCCCCCTTTCCTGTCTCACTCTCCCACTATCCTAACTAATAAAGACAAAAAGACCAAAAAAAAACAACAACATAAAAAAAAGCACACCATGTACATTGAAGGAAAAATCACACTGTGATGATCATTTTAGAGGGTGGAACATGTGCTGCTGTAAGTGATATCCTATGTTTTTAAGTCATTTGGACAGTTTGGGCCACCCAGTGCAGCATCATACATAATAAGAGTAATGTGACACTGGGAGAAACATTGGGAGAACACCACATCAAAACAGTGTTGCTGTTTTTTGGCCTTTCTGTGTATGTTCTAGATAAGTTTGCTAAATACTCAGTGCCCAAGACATTCATAGGTCAGTGCCAGGGTATAACAATTATGACCTTTCACTTAACAGCTCTTTGAGCACAATACAATAAAATCCAAGCAGGCAGAGACAACAGTGAAAACAAAGATTAAAGTCAGATTCTGGGCAGACATATGGTGGATATTAAAAGGTTACACTCCCGAAATACTAAAAGCTCATTAAATCATACTGGAACACCTTCATTTGGACAGAAGTTACAGGTGGTCCCTGTGTGGTGTCCATGCGTGTGAGTAATTCTTCAAAGAATTATGGTGGAAAGTACCTGAAACCAGATGTGCATAGTAAATACTGACTTATCCAAACATGCTGTACCTGACTGTACAACAGTTACACCAAAAGACATTCATTTTTCATCTTTAATAGATTGCCGCCTTGGTTTATGTCTCTCTTTTTTTTTTTTGCACATGAAAATGAAATGGTATTCATATTAATCTCTGGCAAAGAATAAATTACACAGAACAACCCTGAATATAAACATAGTTATGTATGATATCTTTAAGTATATTGCACTTTGAAAACTCAACATCCAATAGGTGCACAGCAGAAGTCTCAAGCTGAGGCAATGTAATGAAAAACAGATGAGAATATGGTTAACAACAAGCCAAAAATAAAATTCAGATGCATTTAGCTCTGCATTGTGAAACTGTGTGCAAAAGGAGTTACTGCTGTTTCCCTGTGGTCTGGCTGGGACGTACTTTCTGCATTATGTTTGCAGTGAGATGAATTCAAGGCGTAGAGCGATGGCATCAGAGGAGGAGAGCAAAAAGGCCAACCAGGCTCAACGGGAGGCCGAGGCCGAGAGGCGTCTGGCGGAGAAGGAGAGGCAGGAGAAGACGGCCGAGTGTCTGAGCTGGAGGGAGAAGCACCAGGAGTTGACCAACAGGTTCCGAGCTCAAGAGGACCTGAAAGCTCTGAGGCAGAACAAAGCAGTAAGAAAGCATCTCTGGCATGTGTTAGTTCTGATCGCATCCCAACAAACACTGAACAGAGAAAAGACTTTACCCCGGGATTCAGTGAAGGACAGAAAAACAGATACAGTCCAAATGGCTATTTCCTTCTCATAAAGTACAACATGCCCCAGTGACGCAGGTTAAATTGCAAGTGATCTGTTTCCATTGACTACCATTCAACATGGGTGAATGACTGTGATAATAGTGTGTATACATGGAAATTGAACATTTCTTGCATTTAGTTTTGTATCTTTAGAATCTGTTTCTGCATCTGTTGAATAGATCATCACATTTATTTTTCTCAACAGTGTCAAGCCAACATCAAGAGCTACTTCCTGTGCATGACAGAAAGTGATCAAAGGGTTAAAATCCTCAAAAATCCAGATGGCAACCCAAGAAATTTTACGGTGAGATGATTTTGCATTTGTCTTCCCAAAGCAAGCACCAGGTAAGTATGCAGATGGGAGATCCATAAATGTCTATGCCAACTTTTAAAATCCAGAGCATGGGAAGTCTTGGTCAACCGGACCTTTCGGATGATCCAGACAAAGCTTTTACAGTTTCGGCTTCACACAATCAATCTTGTGTGAAAAACTTGGAGTGATACTTGACAGCTTCTTCATCTTTGACAGACAGATCAGGTGGTCGCGACTTTTAGCCAAACTGAAGACACATCAGGCTGCAAGGTGGCACAGTTGGTTAGCACTGCTGCCTCGCAGTGAGAAGGTCGCTGGTTCGCTTCCCGGTGGGGGCACTGGGATCTTTCTTTGCATGTTCTCCCCGTGCAGGATGGGTTCTCCGGCTTCCTCCCACAAGTCCAAAAACATGTTGAAGTTAATTGGTGATTCTAAATTGTCCGTAGAGTGAGTGCGAGCGTAAGTGTGCTTGGTTGTCTGTCTCTAAGTGTAGCCCTGCAATAGACTGGCGACCTGTCCAGGGTGTCCCCTGCCTTCGCCCTAAGTTGGCTGGGATAGGCTCCAGCCTCCCCGCGACCCTAGTGAGGATTAAGCATGGATGGATAATATATGTTATTTGTCAAAGGCTTTGAAAACGTTGACTTAAATAGATTATAATTCTCTGTACGTGGGTATAGAAAAGTGTCTCTTCAGCATATGCAGCTGCTACAGAAATACAGCTGCTTGTCCTTTAATAGACAAATAAAATGTGATCACATAGCATCAGTACTTGCTTTCCTCCAGTTGCTTACTGTTGGTTTTAGACATAATGTTAAGTTTTTATTGTCTGTTTTTAAGGTTTTAGAAGTGTTGGCGGCGCCTTCTTTAGTAGAGCTCCGATTAGAAAACCGAGGTCGACCAAACAGATGCTCTCAGATGTTTCTGAGATTCATTCACAAAAATAGAGGTGATCAACTCATTACAGCATTTATCATTTTATTATCTTTTATTTAGATGTGTATTTTAGTCATTGAGTTTTTTGACCTGCTGTTTTAATTGCACAACACTGTGGTACAACCTTTTTCTTTAAAGTTGTGTTTTATAAATAAATGTCACGTAGACCAAAGACTAAAGTTTTTGAACTCACAGTAACAGTGGACCTCCTCCTCATGTCATTTTTCGCTCAGGAGGGAGATCCTGTTTACATCTCCACCCCAGAGTCCAGTCCTGAGGAGCCTGAGAGGAGTTCATCCAGGTAAACTGTTCTGTGGCCACCAGAGGGCCCCAGACCTCATAGAAGAACCATTTTATACAATATTTCATTCCACTCATGCATGCATATTGGGTAGACAAAATATTAGAAACACTATTAAAAGTAATGCAGTCCAGTACACCACCACCAACTACTATGCCCTAAATAATTAACATAAATATGCACACAGGTCTGATGAAGTGATGCTCACTGAAGCTTTAATGAAGTTTGACTTCAGAATAAAGGAGAAAATACAACATGTCAAATTTTTAGTCAGAAACAGATATCAGGGAGTCAGGGGGGAAAAATCATGCTGTTTGAAACTGGAATGTTATGTGTTACAATTGTTTTGTATTGCAATTATACAGTTAAGAGTCTTGGTGTTGTAATATGTAAGGTTGGACTACATTCAGGTGCTACTAGATACATCTAAATAGGTGTTATAATTTTACAACTTTGAGCCAGGGAGGGTCTGAGCTCCAGCACTGATTCATGGGTCTTCTACTTTCTCAGGACCATGTTCAGGGTCTCTGCCCCACATACGGGGAGGGATCTGGGTCCGAGTCACTTCGACGAGCTGCCAGCTTTTGGAGGGGAGCGACCTGACTCGGCCCCTTCACGCAGAAGCAGGAAGGTGGTGGAATACTTCTGGATCCCTACAGACCAGGAGTGATCCAGAATCAATTCGTGTGATGTGTAGCAGAGCTGCTCAACAACCACCAGGCTGACTGTTGTCACCTCAGATGTTTTACTATGTACCATAGTGTGAAGCATTTTATTGCAGAGTTGGAATATGTGAGGAAAAGCAGCGTAAATAAAGTGAAATGTAGTATTGGTGCTCATGTACTGGACTTTATTGACATTAAAGCAATAGAGGTGCACAATATTTATGAATACCTTACAATAAGATTCAGATCCATTGCCTTATACATAAACATGGCTTGTGAGCACAATTCTTGGGTAAAACTCCATGTTAATCATTTGTTTACCTGTTACATTTTTGAGAGGGGAAATCAACAACCTATTTTTTTTTTTTTCTTTTTTCTATAATGCCAATTTAAGTAACACTTTTCTAAATCAAACAGGCCACAGTCAAACTGCCACTCTAAATTGTGGGAGACAAAACTCTGAAACTCCTCCATTTAACAGGTGCACTTCTCAAAGAAGAGCTGCCGAATTCCTAAAAACAAATTTCTTTCGTTCTTTAAATATTAATACTTGTAAACTGTGTGAAGCTTTCTTGGAAACGTCAGCTTCAATAAATTTTTGTGCAATTAGGTCAGGACTAAATCAAATACTTCAGCATTTGCTCGGGCTTTAGATTCTTCTTAGTAGACTTTATTATAATCCCAGCACAAAACAAAAAGCCCATCTAACTAAGAGGTAGAAACACAGGCAACTTTGAAACGTTACGGCGGCACACCAATGATTACAGTTCTTTTTAAAATATTGTAACATTTGGAGGATGAGTATTGCAACCACTCATGTAATAAAAGACAACAAAGAGGTACAGATTACAAAAGGGAGAAATCTCCTGATGGAGAAATTATATATATATATATATGTATATATATATGTATATATATCTATATATATATATATATATATTTAAAAAAAAGAACATGCTCATCATCAGCAACTATGAAGAGCACTTTTATTTAAAAAATAAAAAGCGGAACAAGTTTAGTGAGCATTGGTTGACTAAGCACGCACCTTAATTTGTTATGAAATATTTTTGCCAGCTTATGCTTCATTCTCACTTCAGTAGACCCTCTTGACATTCACACTTTCTGAAACAAAGGCTGAAAGTCACATATTGTCTTGATTTTCACTATATGGATCTCTCTGCAGCCTTCGCTCTGCTGTGTTTAAGCATTGCGTCAGAGCGTGATGGAAGGGAATCCACCCTGACAGAAGATCACAAAGCAGCTCGCTGACAACACCTTTGTTAATTGTTGTATGCTATTAACTAGCATTAGCAAAGAGCATCACTAATTTGACTCATTTAGGGGCAAATCCTACATGTTTTTAAATAAACACATTTCCTAGCGAGGGAGGTTCAAATCAGTAAAAATTGAGTGGAAATGAAAAACATGCAATACAGTGAAAAAAAAAAAAAGTTACAAACCTAATATAATCAGAGCAAAAAACAAAGAAACACATGGTTGAGCCACTCTGGACTTCAAGAATTCATGTAGCCGATCAGGACAAGATTTAAAAAAAAAAAAAAAAAAAAAATCAAACATCCATTAGGCAACAGATCACACAATGCTTCTCAGCCTATCGTCATGGTGCGGGTGGTAGCACGAGGCCCTACATGTACAAGCTTTCGGTTTATATTTGCAAGACAGAAGCAGCTGAGTGCCACGTAGTAGTGGTTAAATTAAGCATGGAGTTTAATAAAGGAAAGGCGAGTCTAATAATAAGATAGGTCGATCTACGCCATGACACTTCTGCTTGGTTTCTCAGTCTGCTTCGTCCTCAGACTCCTCCTCCTCTGCTGTCTCCAGCCAGGTGAGCCACTGGTTTACCTGCCAGCAGGGAAAAGTCAAAGCTTATATAAATCCTGGCAACATGGTACTAAATAAAATCATTCTAGTGTTTAATAAGAGCTGAGGTTTAAGCGTATAAGAGTATAATTTCTTTCTCTCCACCGAAATCATAACTGTACCTGGAATAAAGCTTTTCCTTTTCCAGGGAATTCTTGGGTAATATCTTCTTTCCATGCAAGGAAGGCTTCTTCTTCAATGATCTCCATGTCGTAGAAGTTGACAAAGTAGCGCAGCAGCATGCCTTATTGGAAAGAATTAAAAAGGTATTAATGTGCAATAATGTTAAACTAGTCAATATTCAAGAATCATGACCAGGACCATTATTTAACATCCCTGCACTCCAATTTCTTGTTGCTTAGCAGCCAAAATACACAATGTTAACAATATTGTTGCTATCAGTTCATAAGCTCACAATACTGGTAGTCTTGACTGTCCAAGGTACTGTACCTTTAGGAAACCCGCTGGCATTGCAGTGCACCTGCAAGGCATACAGGGCGCTGACCTGCAGCTCGGTATGGTCGTGCAGGAACTTCTGCATGACGGGCTTGAAGGCCAGCAGCAGCTGTTTCTCCTGTTCCAGCTGCTCTTTGGAGGGGGCTGCCAGCTGCTCATCGCCCTCTGCCACGCACAGCTCCTGGGAGATGTACTGGAGGAAACTGGGAAAACACCAGGACACCGTTGGTTATATCAAAGTTCTTTTTGTTTTTTTCACTAAATCACTGTGATTAGGATACATTTCCTTGTATGAATGCAAGGAAATGTATATACACGTGAGTCAGTTTTTATCAGTTACTGGGGACATTCATTAAAGATTATGCCTAAAAGCTGAACACATACAATCATATGAGTTGTTATGCTGATAAATAAATATTCTTCCTGGAAAAACTAAACTAAAAAATGAAGGGTGTCACATATTGTTTGAGCTTTAGCAAAAATAAATAATCAATAAAATCACCTGGTCATGAGGATGTTGACAAAGCCTTTATCAGTGTGAAGCTTGGGCGAGATATTGTCTTTAATCCACTTGTAGATGGATTGTGGAGAGGGGTCTGCCTTTATTTGCTTCAGCAGCTCCTTCTCCAGCTTCAGCAGTGGGAACAGGAAGCTCAGGCCCTTCCCCTCCAGGATCTCCAGCATGCGGTCCTTGTTCTGATCGATTTCTGCCACGAGGAAGACGTCAATTATTCATACAGAGAGGTCACAACGCTGACGGCTATGTTTCTGATGTGATTACCAGCCCTGGGTGGGGTTGATTTTTTCCACAAAAAGTTACTGTTTCATTTGTAAACAAGTCCAGATAGCCAATAACTCCAATGACATTCCTTGTTGAGTTTTACTTTTATGCAAGGAATAATTTTTGTCATGCAAAAAACATGATCAGTTTATAGACTTACAGTATTTTTCAGATAATGTGGCAGCATTAGTTTCACTTCTTTTGTGAACAATTTTTTAAAAATTGCAAATGGCACAGAAGTAACATATACAAGTGTTTAGCCCTTTAAGCCCTCCTCTGACCCGAGTCTCAGGTTTTACACAAAGAAATAGTGTGAAACTATGCACTCATCATGAAAGAATATAGTGACGTTATACATCAAATTAAACAGCGGAACCTGGGCTCCAAGAATATATAAGCCACTTCTACATGCCTCAAATACAACTCAAACACCAACTAAATGAATTATCAAATACAGACATCGATATAGCGCCACCAAGTCAACCCACTCGCCACATTTGTGGTTCTGGTGATACTGTACATTGTGCAAAACACACAAACAACCTGTCAAAACGAAAGCTGACAGTCCCCAGATTGTAAACATATCCATCAAAGCTCTCTAAAACCAAAGCATCGGCGAGGAATAACCCAAAGAACAGCAAAAACCGAAACCACTTCATCAAACTGTAGTTGCAAGATTTCTCTTATCTTAGCTGTTTTTACCACGAAAACTTTATTTGAAATCCACACTAGTACTCCAGTACTACTTCCTGTGTCACACGGAAATCACTCTGGGCATCCTTCAGAGGCGCCATGAGATTTGGGGCGCTACTCCAAAGCGCACTCAGGAGCGGGTAGCTCCGATACAAGATGGCCTTCTACTGATTCTGATTGGCTAAAAGTGCTGTCAATCTTGTTTTGGTGGCTATTGCTATATTTTATTGGCTCTAACGATTCGAAGGAGGGGTCAATCACCGAAATCGACCAATTCATGACGGAGACACAGCCCTGCGTCATCACAGAAGCTTCACAGCCGTCTTGGTCGCCATTATGCACAGGCCGCGCAACGGAGACAGCGGTCTAGTTGGATTTGAAAATCCAAAACTGCTGTATTCGGATGTATTGAACGCCATTAGTGAAATACAAGTGAAATATATACTTAGTACATAAGAACATTCAGATGGTCACCAGTGTGCCAAAATGTGTCAAAGTGTGCAAAAATGTCACCTCGCCTGAACTGTCTGGACTAAAAACTTTGTAATTTTGTTCTGCTTCACTTTATCAGAGTCAACCATTGCAGAGAGAATGTTCACATATAGTGCTATGATTTTGGAGAGGTTTAGACCTGGAGCTGGATCATTACAAAGAGATAATTATCCTGAAACTGCTTTTTGTTTTTAGGCGAACCTGTAATTTTTTAATTTGTGTGTGTGCCATCTACATTTACTTTTAGCCAGTAACATTTGTACTGATATTTACACATCTGAACAAATCTTACAAGTGTTCCTTTTATTATGACACAAGAATTATTCAAATAGACCTTGTGGTTGCAGAGATAAACTGTTCTTATTACGGGTATGTAATTTTAGAGCAAAGGCCTGAAAAATAGCTCAGGGCTATGAGATGACTTGTTGTTGTAAATATGCGCTATACAAATAAAATTGAATTGAAATTGAATTGAATTAAAGAGTTAAAGTACTTTTGAGTGTTTTGTTCACAAGTTGTTTGCATTTAGCTAAAGTGTGATGTTTTGCACTAATTAGGATGTTAATTAGCCTACAATGTCGTTGACTGGGTGAAGTGTAACATTTTCTATATTTTTGTTCTTATTATGGTCCAACTGAGCTGCACAATAGGGGGCAAGATATATCCTAACTGTATGTTCATGTTGGAAGAATACAGTTTCCTTTAAAGGAAATCATTCATTGTATATTTTCTTCGTCTTGCATTGCAGTACCCTGTTTAAAGTGATCATATAACAAACAACTAATCAGTACTGATACTTCATGCTAATAGATAAAGGAGGGATGATAATACAGCAGATGCTTTGAATTTCTTTGATATAGCTGTGCAGTATTCTTAGTGGACCGAATAGCAGCAGATGATAGAAAGCTCATTAAAACAGGAAGAGACATGAGAGATTTATTTTTTAGAGACTTGAGACTTGACTTGGACTCGTGACCAAAGACTTGAGACTTGACTTGGACTTGCAAAAAAAGACTTGTGAACATCTCTGGTCATGATACAAGCAACTGGAGATACAAGCAGACAGCTGAGCTTGTACAGCTCAGAGATGCAACACTCTTGAAACTACAAATGGTAGAACAGAGTAGAACATCAGACCATTGTTGTTCAGAGTGGCCCACAAATATCCTACATGTGTCAACCAGCTAAATGAAAACTCAACACAGCAGAAAACACAGCTGCCCTGAAAATTCCTCACCACACCAAAGAATGATTCATTGAAAACTTATTTACAATAAACTGTTAAGCCTTTTTCTGTTTGTAAAGGTACATTTACTCGTCTATTCAGTCAAAACTCACACAAGATTAGCCAACAGACGACCTATTAGTGGGTAGAAATGATCAGCAGTCTGATCATTGTGCTGTTCATGGCATTTATTATCATCAACAGTGCTACAACAACATCAAGGCCAGAAGTGATCCCAGCAAGACTTGTGCAGGTACACACTGCACTGTATGCGATTGTAATGTTCTGCATTCATTTGTATTGTATAATCAGGCGATATGCTTGGAGAACACTCTGGGACGTAAAAACAACCACCAAAGTCATCTAGAGGCCGTTAAACATTCTTTACCATAACACCAACAGGTTCAGAGGAGGAATAGAGTTGCATTAAATTTGATAGAAGCAGAGGAGGAGCAGGTAAGGTGAGGGATGGGGCAACGGAGGGACTCACCTGGAAGCATCTTTTGCATGTTGACCTTGCTCTGCTGGAAGAGGTCGGTGAGCCACTCACGGTCCTTCAGCTTGGCCGTCTGTTGCAGGCAGAGCAGGAAGAGGGGGAAGTGGGTGCCGTTCTCCAGGGGGTGAGCCAGCTCCGCCACACTCACCAGCTCTGCGATGATGGCCCGGGCCGCAAACTGGGCCAGGTAGGACTTCACCAGAGGCACGTCCAGCTCGATCTTAGGGCACTGGTCCAGGACGGTAAGGAAAGCCTAAAGGAGAAGGACAAAATGCCAAAACATGACTGATGATGATTCTTCCCCCCCTTTGGGCTCATCAGTGACAAATTATGTTACAAATAATTGCAGCAACCTCTGTGGGGAATTGATTGTAATTTTGAAATGTCAGATTTAAAAGGTTTTCTTGCCATGCTTTTGTCAAACTCCTTGGGAACTGTGTTGGATGCAACTTGGTAAACAGTAATTTCAGGGAGTGACTTAAACACTACCATCTTTAGAACGAAATGTAGTTCTGTCCTCCAAGAGTTATCTCTGTACACGTTTGTATTTATACAGTGTGATATTGAACAAATGCTACATGTACCTGCATGAAGTTCTCTCCAGTGATGAGTCCCTCAGTGCGCAGCATGTGAATCAGTGTGCTGGCATGCTCCTTGTCCTCATCAGGACGATCCAGGGAACACACTATGATCTTACTGAGCATCTCTGGCAGGAAATGCTTCGGAGCCTTCATCTCTCGCACACCGCTCACAGCCTCTGTCAGGTTCTTAGTGTTGAGGTACTCAGCCATAACTGCCTCCTAAAGAAAGGATTCAAGTGCACAGAAATGAGCTGTGGCCATTGTGAGCACTAAATACAACACATGAAATAGTCATCTTGTGCTAACCTGTAATACGAATGCACATGCTAAATAGTTTAAAGCTTTGAGCCACATTTGTTTGTATTGGCAAGAGGGATATCTCATAGAATACTGAAGTGCTCATGTAAAGGTAAGATAATTATTAGAATTACTTTTATAGAGTTAGATAATATCTATCTAATATCTCACTCCTTTCCTGGTTGGCTGTTTATAATATAAACAGCCAACCAGGAAAGGAGTGAAAGCAGTCATGTTTAGAGAAAAATGAATTGCAGTAATGATTGAATCTAAGCAACGTTGAGTGTAACAAACACATATAGAAAGTCAACTTGGGAGTGTGCTACGGTCATGTGACTGTCTTCCGATTTATCCTTGGAGAGTTAACATATCCTTCTCAGGTGTGCTGGACTGGAACAGCTACAGCTGTAAATGCCATTGTTGTGCCTACCGTCATCTTAAGAAGCTCCTCCCTGGCAGGAGGTGGTTTCTTGTTTGTCTTCTGAGGTTTCTCTTGAATGGGTGGGGGGTTGGTCTTTAGGCCAAGCTGTGGAGGCTGAGGGCAAAGGTCGTGTGAATATTTATCTTTATTCTTTAACTGTGCTCTAACTTCTCATCTACATCCATGCAAGTTTGACTAGAATAGAATACAACAGAGTAGAATACAGTCGTATGTAAAAGTTTGGGCACCCCTGATCATTTTCAAGATTTTCCTTTAGAAATCATTGGTTGTTCGGATCAGCAATTTCAGTTAAATATATCATATAGCAGACAAACACAGTGATATTTGAGAAGTGAAATGAAGTTTATAGGATTTACAGAAAGTGTGCAATAATTACTTAAACAAAAGTAGGCAGGTGCATAAATTTGGGCACCCCAACAGAAAAATTACATCAATATTTAGTAGATGCTCCTTTTGCAGAAATAACAGCCTCTAAACGCTTCCTATAGCTTCCAATGAGGGTCTGGATTCTGGTTGAAGGTATTTTTGACCATTCTTCTTCACAAAACATCTCCAGTTCAGTCAGGTTTGATGGTTTCCGAGCATGGACAGCCCGCTTTAAATCACACCACAGATTTTCAATAATATTCAGGTCTGGGGACTGAGATGGCCATTCCAGAACGTTGTACTTGTTCCTCTGCATGAATGCCTGGGTAGAATTTGAGCAGTGTTTAGGGTCGTTGTCTTGTTGAAGTATCCAGCCCCGGCGCAACTTTAACACTAATTCTTGAACATTGTTTGCAAGAATCTGCTGATACTGACTGGAATCCATGCGACCTTCAACTTTAACAAGATTGCCAGTACCTGTACTGGCCATACAGCCCCACAGCATGATGGAACCACCACCACATGTTACTGTGGGTAGCAAGTGTTTGTCTTGGAATGCTGTGTTCTTCTTCTGCCATGCATACCGCCCCTTATGTCCAAATAACTCAATTTTAGTTTCATCAGTCCACAGAACCTTATTCCAAAATGAAACTGGCTTGTCCAAATGTGTTTTAGCATACCTCAAGCGACTCTGTTTGTGACATGTGCGCAGAAAAGGCTTCTGCCGCATTACTCTCCCATAAAGCATCTCCTTGTGCAAAGTGCGCTGAATAGTTGAACGATGCACAGTGACACCATCTGCAGCAAGATCATGTTGTAGGTCTTTGGAGCTGGTCTGTGGGTTGAGTTCGACTGTTCTCACCATCCTTCGCCTCTGCTTATCTGAGATTTTTCTTGGCCTGCTACTCCGGGCCTTATCTAGAACTGTGCCTGTGGTCTTCCATTTCCTCACTATGTTCCTCACAGTGGAAACTGACAACTGAAATCTCTGAGCTAGCTTTTTGTATCCTTCCCCTAAACCATGATGTTGTTTTCAGGTCATTTGACAGTTGTTCTGCAGCTCCCATGTTGCCACTCTTCAGAGAAGATGCAAAGAGGAGAACAACTTGCAACTGGCCACCTTAAATATCCTTTCTCAAGAGTGGTCAATGAGCTTACCAAACAAATTTTGTGTTCCAATAATTAGTGCTAAAGGTATTCAAATCAATAAAACAACACGGGTGCCCAAATGTATGCACCTGCCTACTTTTTTAAAAAGTAATTATTGCCCACTTTCTGTAAATCCTATAAACTTCATTTCACTTCTCAAATATCACTGTGTTTGTCTGCTATATGATATATTTAACTGAAATTATTGATCCCAACAACCAATGATTTCTAAAGGAAAATCTTGAAAATGACCAGGGGTGCCCAAACTTTCATACAACTGCAGAACTTTATTGATCCCTTTGGTAGAAACCTCAGGGAAATTGCTGCACCAGCAACAACACCAACACAACCTCAGCAACAATAGTAACAACAACAATAGTAATAATAATAATAATAATAACAACAACAACAACAACAACGGATACAGTAACAACTGTATGTATGTAACAACTAATGTACTAATAAGCTGTGACATGGGGGTGTCTCTTACCTGTCCCAGAGGGGGGGTTTGAGTGCGTGGAGGCTGGGCACTGGGAGGCATCATGGTGGGGATCTGGGGCTGGAGCTTGGGCACCTGGTTCTTATTGAGGAGGAATGACTGAGCAGGCCTGAGGCTGATCTGTAGGACCAGCAAGCATCACAAACAGAGAGCATACAACAGACTAGTCTCGGTCCTAATGGAATTTTAAATCTGCATAGGAGCTATATGTAATGCCCTCATATCTCATAATCGCAGTCAGCGGACCTGCTACCAGTTTGACCAAAAGAGTAGAACAAGTGAAGGGAGGAAAGGAAAGATGGCGGAGATTAAAGGCAGAGTAGACAGTAGAGGAAAGACCAGTAGCAGGTGTGTTCCTCAGAATAACGCGTCTTTGTATAATCACAGGGCATCAAGACGAGACAGTTAGGAGAGCAGGATACAGCCATTAATGCTCCCGTGAGAATTTTGTGCAATACCTTTGCTGTGAAAGGTTTGGCTCGAGCACCATGGAGCCTGATGCTTTACTCTTACTAAACTATGATGACATTCTAATCTGTACTACAAACCAAAAATAACTGCCATCATGTTTTTTGCTCATATCCTGCAAATCAATTCCAACTAGCTCCATTTACCTCGTCTGCATTGAGCTGTCCTTTCTTGCTGAATCGAGGAGGCATATCCTTAGACTGGGCCTGCTGCTGGGCCAGGTGGTTCTGGTTCTGATTGAGGAAATGTTGGTTCTGAACCTGTTAAAAGGTCACAAGAGCAAAAGGATGATTAAATAAAAAATAATGGAAATCAAAGTACTTCTTCAAATGTCTTTGAGAGTGACTTTGCCCAACTACAATTAATGCAAACCTTTAGCAAGATTACCTGGTTGGACTTAACAAATGACTTGGGCCCCATGTCAAACTGTGACTGTGGTGGAGGGGCAATGTGGCCCCCATGACCGTTGAAGAGCGGGTTGGTGCGATGGCGTCCCATAGTGGGAGAGTACCTGTCCTGAATAACCCCCGGGCCAGTTCCAATCCCACTGCCTAAGAAAACAACGTACAAAAATGAAGGTACAGGTTCCACACAGACGAGTCAACCCTCAATAAGAAAGCTTTTGCACTGCAACAATTTGAAAATTGACTTTTCTGAAGTAAAACCTTAAGGGCTTGAAAATCATACAAATACAAACAAGAGAAGAAAATACGATGAGAGGTAGCTACTGAGTTTGGAGGGCTATACTACGAAGCGAGAGTAGTAGGTTAGTATGTTAGGTTAGTATGTTGCGTCTAAAGTCAGAGTTTTCAGTGTCTCGAAAGTGGCTCTCTTTTTATCTGGCTAGATCTCTAATGCTGTGGAGCTAACCTGGTCTGGAGCAGGTTATGCTCAGAGTTTCAGATTTAAATTGGCTGGAAGGACCATCTCCCTTTAACCAAATCATGTCCTGATGATTCTTTATGAGTGAAACAGATTCTCAGCTGAGGGAATATGTTTTATCTGCAAACATGCTGAGTTTACGCTACAAATATCACTGAATGAAGTCATGTAGTTATAGGATCACACACTGTATACGTCGTGCTGCCATGGGAACCAGACGTGTAATTAGTTGGCGATGCAGAAATCCCATAAATATGTTTTGTGTTTGGCTCTGATTTGCAGTCAAGTCCGTTTACACTGATGGTACTACAGCTGATAGAACACAGATTAGAAAACTGATTATTCTCCTGGTATTTACTACAGAGAATATTCAATCAAGAACACTAGCTTCACTTTGACTTCCTGCATTATGGGACAATGTCAGACCTAAATGTACTTCAATACAGGATCATGTTTAAATGTATCAAGTTTAAAGTTTAATTTTAATGTGCAGTGGCTGCATTGATCGGTAAAATAAATACATTGAGCACGTTTAACAGTTTTCTACCAGCATTCCTGTCTTGCATCATTTGCAGTAGCAGCGCTTTTTACCGTCATAAATTTTATATTCCTCATTGTTCTCCATTATAACACCCTGTTGACTGAAGCAGCTGCACAGGATCATTTCATTTAGTGCAGAAGAAGAGTCAAATGACGCGTTAAACGCGCAATTTTATGTGAACACACACAGAATCTGAAGCAGAAAGCCTGAGTTAACAGAGAAAGTTGAACCACCTTCATGATACCTGTTGTCTCTGACTGGGGCTTTAGGTTGGGTTTTTTTTTTGCACAAAGAAAGCCTGGTTATGTCAAACTTGCTTCATAGTACAGCCCTCAGGGGAGCCAGGAACAAAACTCTCACCTGGCATTTGTCCAAACATGTCAGCCAATCCCCCGAGAGTCTCCCTGTCCAGTTTCATTCTGTTGGGCATGAAAGGGCTTTCCAGGAAGAAGTCCATCCTCATCCCCTGAGACATGGGCGCTGGGATGAAAACACCCAAATCCTAAAAGAACATGAGAGAAAGCCAGTGTCAATAAATTATTCAACAACAACCCCAGAGCTCAACTTCAATTTGTAACATTACTTACATTTTACATTTTAAAGAGCTCTACACTAAACTGCACAGCATTTACAATCTGAAAAGTTAATTGCATCCTTTGTACACCTGTAATAATTGCCAGCACAACATCCTGCTGCCTCACATTCCAAACTGGGTCCCAGTGCAGACACTGGTCCTTTAGAATGTTACAGGTGTATTTATGGAAGTCCTTTAACACTGGACTCACTTTCACTGCATCCTGACGGATCTGGTTAATCGTCTTTGGTCCGTTGTCGATGAAAGCCTTGCGGGGGACCCAGTTGTTTTCTCGCAGTTCCACTGTATCTTGCAGCAGGAAGCGGATCCTAGCGGGCAACTCCTTGTTGTTCATTAAGGATCGCATACGGCCAAAGTACTGATCCATTAAAGACTGGTGAAAGGATGGAGACGGGAAGGTGGGTGTGAGCAACTGCAGTCTGTACACACAGTTCCACAGCAGAATAATACATTAACATTGGCTCAGAGTCAAGTGGGGAATTAGGTGAGGCCTGGCGGTGAGTTAAGCCAAGACCTGAAATGACACAGTTCACCAAGGCAGGCCCACAAAGGAACAGTACAAAGAAGTGGCAAAGAAAAAATAAAATACCATATAAGCTCAGAATGTAATGAGTTTGATTTCTGTTTACCATCCTGATAACAATTCAGATTCTGTTCTAAAGCTTTTAGGGTTTCTGCAGCTTCAGGCAGCAGTAACTGGCTGATCCATAGTTATCCTATGCATAGGTTTTTCCAAGGAATGCCTTCATGTTGAATTTGACACTGTTCACACTTTGGTACTACTACGTTGTAGACAAACACAGCCGCTCCAGTTACCTATACTTTATGAAAGCCGTTACCTTTGCTTTCTCATGGTCGAGTCTCGGCCCCACTGTTCTCATTATCTGACAGAGGCATTCCAGATCCTCCCCCATATCCTTAAGCTGGACTCTCTTCTTCTTTTCCAGAAGCTTTAGAAAACATTAAAGAGAGAAAGAAAACAGAGGGTCATATAAGGTGCACTAGGTTGGTTTGAAGGTGTGTAGAATTTCTTTCAATTGTAAATTTTATTTTGCAAGATTAAAAAAGACAGTGACTTTTAACAAAAAGCATATGCAGAGGTGTATACGCACTGTTTTGATGCACTTATGAAGGATAGATTCATGGATGAGGTCGAGTTTGCCAAGTTCCCCGATGAATTTAATGTTGCCAAGCATTTTGATCTTGGCAATGGCACGCTGCTCCTCTTCCTCAGAAGTAAGAGGGTTGTCATGTTTGTCATAGACTGACAAGGAAAAACAGAAGTTAGTGGTGAACAGGTTATAATAATCTGCCACATCACCCACAAGTACAACCACCCCTTGAAGATGCACAAAAACGGGAACTTACTTTCAACATTTCTGGTGCGGTTTTCAAATTCATCTTGAAGCTTGGAAATCAGCAGTCTTCTGAAGGTCTACAATAAGAACAAAAACACCCACTGGTTCAATGCATCACAACAAGAGATGCTGCAAAGTGTTTCAATAAAAGCAGAAATTACAGAAGATTTACATGAGAGGGATTTGCTTTTCCCCCCTCAAGCTGGAGGTGTTTTATGAACAGTAAAATATTAATTAAAAAAATACGATTATCCTTTATCAAAAGTAGAGTGGTGCTAATGGCTTTATGATTACCTGCTCCACAAGAAAACAAATGGCAAACTATTGAAAGTATGTACACTTACTGTGCTCTGCTTTTGGGATGTTTGGATCTCAGATGAAGGGCCATCAAAGTTTGGTGCGTCCTCTGCCAAGCGCAGACATAGCTGAGCATAGAGCGAGCTATACTTCGGCTCTTCTAAGGCTTTGTCTACAATCTGAACCACAGATGCAAGAGGCACAAAGCAGAGCAGGACCAATGAGGTCATTAAAACATGTAGTGTTTGGGTATGAGTCACTGAGAGCAGTCTGCCAAGTATGGATGAATACATTTCCATTTAGCCGAGTACTAAAAAATAAAAATGTATGCTTACCAGCAAGATGATTCCTTTAAGGACGAGTTTTGAATCTACGCCCACGTTCAGGAGCTCAAGGCATAGCTTGTCAAACTTCTCAGGTGTGAGTTTGTTGAGTATGCTACAAAAACAAAATCAAGAGGGGAAGGGAGAAGCAGCAAGAGAAGGAAGTCAGTCAGTCAAGACGATGCATCTCATAATGTTATCAAGAAGATGTTTAACATGAAGACATGCAACTGTATTTTAAGGGACTCCTCAGCATAAACACACTCCATCCGGATTTTTAAAAAAAAAACAAGAGTTTCTTTAATTGTTGTATAAAGTAATTATAAGCAGTAGTTTGCTATTTCCCTGAGCTCAGACCCCATAGTCTGCCTCCTGTGGTATTTACCAGCAGGCCTACATTCCCAGGGAAAACGCTGTCATCGCTTCATCTGTTGTACTTGTAAACATCACCTGATTCAGAGGAAACGGGGCTTAAGTGCCTTCAGCAAAGCACATGCCATCTTAATGACTGCAGTCCTACAAAATTTAACACTTTGTCTGGACTAAACTATCTGTAAATGAGGTACAAGCAGACCATGAGCAACATAAAATCATGCAAGACACAACTTATACACCTTTTCAATCAGACACCCTTGTCTTTAATAGCTTCAGTAGGCAACTGCATAAAAGGAGCTGTTTAGTGGAAGCTGATATTTGATTCTCTAACAGCAGCTCTGTATTCTTTTATCACAACCTCACCCTTGTTCAAGATAATGCTTCAAATTACATGATTATGGTTAAAACCTTTACTGGTTCACTGCTTTCAAAAGAAAACTACACTATTCTGCTGATTAGATGGTTTTTGTAAATTTTCTAAAGCCTGCACGCAATTGAAATAGCTTCAGTAATTTCCCAGGCCTGGGAAAAATAAAGTATTTTTCTATTCTATTCTTCTTAAGCACCAACAATCTTTGAGCCATAAGAGATCAAAATTCCTGCATACCAATTCTGTCTAAGACTGGATAAAAAAAAGTCTAGGAAGAAGCAAAAGAAATGCTTTTGTCCCTGGAGAAGGACAATGAACGGACAGGAACCTACCCCCTCACTTTCCTGAAGATTGCATCGTGTCGCTCTTTTTCATTGCTGGAGTTGACATCTCGTCTAGTGCTTCGTGAAGGAACCCATCTCTGAACGCTTTGCCCTGGGGTTTTCCCCAGGAACTCGCTGTAGAAATACAAACACACTGAGTGGAGTGGCACAGAATCTGATGATACTGTTGTTTGTACAGAAAAAAAAAAAAACACAAATGTCCTTACAGTAATTGTTCCAGCACAAAACCTAAGTAGTAACACTAGTTACTTTACAAATGACTGCACACTCACAAATGTTGCTTTACCAGCAAAGCTGCACTAAGAAGAACCTCATTTCCCCTCATCTTATCCATCCACAGGGCTACACTTAGAGAAAGACAACCAGCACACTCACATTCACACCTACGGACAATTTAGAATCACCAATTAACCTCAACATGTTTTTGGACCTTGTGGGAGGAAGTCGGAGAACCCGGAGAGAACCCACACTGCATGGGGAGAACATGCAAATCCACGCAGAAAGATCCTGGGTGTCCTCACCGGGACGCGAATCGGCGACCTTCTTGCTGCTTGGCAGCGATGCTAACCACCGCGCTACCTTGTAACCCCCCTCACTTTATTATTTACTAAATTAAAATTCCACTGTTGGGTAAAAAGATGCCTCCCACGATAAGCACTACAAAAAGTATTTGTTTTTAATGTTACACACCAGCCTATTTGTAAAATTATCCCTGGCTACCCAGATTAGTAAACATGCATGCACTATCTGCAGCTCACAAACATGTTACAAGACTTCTGGGTATTCAAATCAAGATTTCCTGGAATTCTAGCCCTCAAACCAACAAGTTGAGTAGTCCATAATACATCTCTGTCTTAGAAGAAAGTCCTACCAATAGTCACTGGTGCCATATTACTATTGAGGAAACTAAACAGACAAACCTGTTGCCGACAGTCTTGGGATAGTGCTGAGGTGCACCCCTACCACCTCCTCCCCCCGAAGAAGCACTGCAAAAGAGAGAAACACAAATTAGGTTCATGGAACAGTGTACAACAAATAACAGGCCTGTATCTTTACCTCACAGGAAATAACATTACTAAGCACCAATTATCAGTGTATTCAAGCTTTCACTTAAACTGGAAGACATCAAGGAATAAGAGCCCTCACAATATTAACAACATTTTAAACCACATATGTCAAACTCAAGGCACATCATTTTATGTGGCCCACGAGAGATGTGCTTTTACTAATGTGATAAATTTATGTAATCTAATGTTATATTTTATGTTATAATACCACAGAAATATGGCTACATACATTTTACTTTTATATAAAGATATGCACAATATTTGTACATTGAATAAACAATAATCAAATGCAGAGACAATTATTTAACCATATGTTAAGGAGTAGTTACATTCATACAGTCTTATAGTTAAAATCGGCCCTTGGAGGGCAACCATAATGCTTATGTCACCCGTGATTAAAAGTGAGTTTGACAGCCCTGTTTTAAAGCCTGCCTCAAACGAAGCAAAACTAGAGAACTATTCAGTAAGAACATAATACAATCAACCATAAAAGATGTACAGTGTCTCCATAAGACAAGTTGTAAACTTAAACATGCAACTCTGCACTTGATCACGGCCTTATAGTGCACATGAAACAGCTAACGGAGCGCTACGATTCCTGTAAAAGCAGCTCAGTCTGATTGGTCTGCCTTACAGGTCTGACTCATATTGGCTTCCTTTTGTTTTTATAGCCAGGGAACCTAGCTACTAGCTCCATATAGAGAATAGCCATGAGGACAGCCTCTGTTGTTGAGGACTTATTGTCACTACAATTGCATTTGTTCAGGACGTTTACAGACGAACTGCTGAAGCTGAGCACAACCAAGAACACACAACAACCCACTGCTGCTACACAACTCCAGCGCGTCAGTTGGTAAGTTGTTTATAGTAAATCTGAGGAAATGTTCTTTTGGACACAAAATTAGTATATCCCTTTAAGTGCAAGATGAGTCATCAACATTTTAAAACAATTGTCCAATGAATGACAAACTCTAAAATACCATTAAGAATAATCCTTGTTGGGCCCAATATGGGCTATAAGGGCCATAAAGCACAAGATGTATCACACTAAAATACTCAAACACTGAATTTGATTTCATGGGAACTGTAAGACATATATTGAGTTTTTGAAATGACAGGAAAACAAAGGCTCATGGTGTGTCATCAGGGCCCTAATAAGCACTGACTTTTTAAAAAAAGTGCAAAGTGTAAACTGGGTATGAATAACAGCTCAAACTGACCAACAGCTTCATGAATAAAGCCTGCATTAAGTGCTTTCAAGTGACTGTCACAATGTGCTGTTGAAAAGCCACAGATGTAGATCTGAGCATGACAAATCTTAGACATCTAAAAGTCATCTATGACAAAGAAAGCTACACCAATTCTATGTGTTGTCTCTGTTTGGCCAAATTACTATCTTCCAAAAGACAGACCACACTTGTTAGGTTACACCGTTATACACATTTCCCACTGTGTCTTATTTTTAATTTCTTCAGATTGCATTAGGCAGTCGCTCACCAAATGAATCCAATTTTTAATATTCACTTGTTCTGCAGTGATGTAACGAATTGTGCCCATTCCACATTTTACCACACAGGCAACAGACTAGTCACCTAAACTGCTTTCTATTGAGTAGTCATACAAAAAAAATGAAGTTGTTAGTAGGGGTGTAAGAATATTTGTATCTGTAGCAAACCAATCTGCACAGAATTATCAGTTCAGTATGAGACTAACTTAGAGCAATCTATTTATGTGTATGTACTCGCACTACACAAATGGAAATGCTGGGCATGAATTCCACCTGAAACGTTTTGGCAGTGCACCAGTTGTTGTCATTCAGCGATAGCACGCTAGCACAGTTAGCCAGAACCTGCAGTTTCTGTGCTCACACTAAAAATGAACACAAAGTCACACGTAGTGTTTTTCTAATTCTGAAAGTGTTTAGTCAAGTGGGATGACTTTGTCCTAGGTGTTGAAAAGGACAGAAAGCACAAATTATTTTGTGTATATTTCACATGATAATTGCAATGTTGCTTTTAAGCTCAGTTCAGGTTTATTATGAATATGTTGCACATGTACTCAAGAACGCAGATCAGAATAGCACATTAAAGCATTACTGAGATTTCTGTTCCTCATTTTATTTTTTTTCCTTACTGACAGTGTGGCAGTGCTTGAATGTCATAACTGTTACATTGTATCAACAGAAAAGGTGTAGTAGTAGCAGCACATCAGCAAAGCAGCATCAGCTGCTCCGTTGCTGAATGTACGTATACACAGGCTTGGTTCGGGCACAGTACTGAATGTTAATCACTCACATTTTGACAGCACTCAGAGGCCAATGCGGTCACTGTAGTTAAACAGCATAAAATGCTGAAAAATAAACTTTTCAAGTGTAAAATATAAGAAGCGCTTTTATACTGCTGGTATGCTTAAAACAGGTTTTGTCAGACACAGTTGAGATGGACAACTGAAAAGCAGAGCTTTTTCAAAAACTCTGTCTGGACATTCCATTACAGTAAGAATTATGAACACTGTACCAGCGTTGAGCAAGTAATTATTTTAATTAATGGCATTTCTATTTGATGAATTTCTTCTATTGTCTTTGTTTAACTAAAAACATACAGAACCATGACTCAGAAACTGAACATTCACAGCCCCTAGTTTTGTTTTCAGGCAATCCCCCTTTTTTCAGGCAACTGGAGAAAATATCACTTACAGAGGCAAAACATGATGTGATGCAGAAAGATAGGGCAATATGCATATTTCCAGGTACAATAATAAAGCAGAACAAGTCCTTCTTTACACTGCTCTGCTGCAGCTGTCTGACCACAAAAGGCATGGTCTAGTAATATTCAAATCTTTGCAACTGTGCATGGAACTCCATGACAATTTAGCATGTCTGTGGGCAACTGGGCAGAATATTTGCATATTCAAGCAACCTACACACTTTGTGCAATTATCTTTAGAATTTTTTTTATTTAATCAACATGACCAATTTACTATCTGACATAGCATTTAAAAATACAAACTTCTGGAACCTTCTGTAAAGGTGCCATTTTTTCGCTTGTGCATTTAACAAACACTACGTTTATATTGGACACAGGACATCTTAGGAAGAGTGGCATTGTATATGGTAAACTGGGTGAGTGCTGTCATCAGCAATATATAACCAACAGGACAGGAAATCCCCCTGAGGCTCAATCTGCATACCCAATCCCCTCTTTTCTCGCAAAGAGAAGAGTCTGACAGCCATTTTGAGCCTTTCCACATCCTGCTTTGTTCTAAAGGCCGGAAGTCCTTGCCCAAAGTGCTAGCAGAGAGCTAAGCATAGAAAAAAATAAAATGATTTTCATGTTGTTATTTCCTGTACAGGGATTGGTTTATTACCTGAAACGAGAAGCACCCCCTTCTGCAATCACACTCTCCACTTTGGCGGCTTGACAATGAAGAATACTCAAAAGAATAAGAATAATAGGAGGGGATGGGGAAAACGGTGCTGAGGAAAGAAAAAGGAATTCAATTAGTAACTGCACGGAGGTTGGGACAAACATGACAGGCATAAACGACGTAGTTGTTTACAAGGTTATGAAGCTGACGGTAAACTGGGCTCTTTGAGTTATCCGACGTTATCCAAGGACAGCGTCAGCTAGTAAATTTAGATTGAAAAACAATCCAAAAGCCATGTCTTTGTTACAGGCCTAGCAATACACACAAAATGTAATCATCAGATGAACGACTGAAGTCACTTGCAGACACCACAGCACTAAAGAGGTTGTTTACTGAATATCGACGACACTGTTTTGCGACATCGGGTGCCAGAAATCTATGCAGCTTTATTTCTCGGCAACAACAAAGCAAAGGTGCGTCAGCTAACTGGCTAACGCTAAATTATTAGCTAGCCTGCTAGGCTGCTAAATCCATAAGTTAGCTACGTCACCGACATTTGGTGAAATGTTTACCACCTCTGAGCAGGCTGCTGCTGTTTTATACAGTTTTACCAAGGGTTCAATCGGATGTGTGGCATTATGTGGAGAGAAATGCTGGTCGTTACACTGGATTACAGCAACTGTCTGATTCCAGATGCTTTGTGTTGATTTGCTCTTCTAAGTCGAAAACAGGACTAGCCTGCAAACCCAGCGTTAACGCCGCACCATGGTGCAGTGAAATGGGGCACAGCAGCGTGGCTGGCAGCTAAGATTTCCAGTCGACCGTCCCTGTATCGCCATCCCATTCCCCGATAAAGGCTTAACATATGGTTTTAAGGCCATTTTTTAGGTGAACTTGGCCGGATACTGTATGTCAGGACATTGTACCATTAATACGTAGCACTCAACGAGATTTAAATAATGCATTAAGGCGTTTAATTGACTCTAAATACCAGCTACAGTAGCTAAGCGACGACGCCATTTTCTACTTGAATTTAAATCAGCTGAGCCATCGGTGAGCTAGGCTATATGCCGGCTCCCAAGCTAATACGCTATAGTTAGCTAAAGCAAGCTGATGTTAGACGTTAGTATCTTAGCTCACTGGCTAGCAGAAGCCATTTTGGATGAACCGGTGCAGTTTTCCAAGGGAGAGAAATCTGCCTTACCTTTACCAAAGCAACTTCAGTTTTATATTGTTGTGGGACTACCAAGGAAGAAATAAGACGGTCGTAAAAGAATAGCGGGTTTTTGCGACGGAAATCAGGAGAGCTGAGAGCAGAAAGATGACCGCACAAACACACACATCAATCCCCCTGCCTGCTGCCTGGTTTGTTTGCATTAGCTAGCTTGTAGTCCAGAGCCTGAGAGCTTGCAGCCTTATGGGGGCAGAAAACTCACCAATTTGCATTGGTCACGCATTTTGTTGCCATGTCAATTCTGGCCAATCACAGCAAAGATCTGTTTTTAAGGCGTTTCCAGCAGCACTTATCATCCAATGAGAGGTAGCATGAAACAAAGGAATCCGCCTACTTTAGTTGATTGACATTTAATTTAACATTGTATAAAAAAGTTTATCTGCTCAAAAGAGAATTAGATTAAATTACTACTAAAGGCAGCCATCGTAATCGTTGCCTTTTTCCAGTCATTAAAGAAATTGAAAGCATTTTTAATGCGTCCAAAATGTAAACAAAGATGTATTTGCTAAGATTTTTCACATGAGATGGAGCTGTGTTAATAAAATAACTCCTCCATTTGATCTTTACACACATTTTAAAAAAAAATCAAAACAATACTTTGGCTTTTATGCTCTTTTGCATCATATTATTTGATGTTTCGTTATTTTATTAGATATAATACAGTCCATTCTTCTCAACAGACATTTTTCTCCGTGCAGCGTGGGTTCTCTCCTGGTTCTCTGGCTTCCTCCCACACAGTCCGAAAACATGTTGAGGTTAATTGGTGATTCTAAATTGTCTGTAGGTGTGAATGTGAGTGTGCTTGGTTGTCTGTCTCTAAGTGTGGCCCTGTGATAGACTGGCGACCTGTCCAGGGTGTCCCCTGCCTTCGCCCTAAGTCAGCTGAGATAGACTCCAGCCCCCCGCGACACGAGTGAGGATTAAGCGTTGAATAAATAATGGATGGATTTATGTGGCATTTGCACACCTTTTAACCCATCTGTCAGATTCCAGTAATTATTGAATCACTCCTACATTCATAATTAGCTTGCTGTCAATCAACAATCAATAAAACACATTCTGTTGGTTTTCGGTGTTTGTGATTAAATTAATCTTAAAGCAGGGATTAGTCATAGCAGCCTATAGGGCAAGCTTGAATTGTTTTTAAATCGCCATACAGTAGGAACTATATATACACAGTAACGCACAAAGTTGTTTAATGCATTGATGTAGTCCTGAATATAGCCTACTGCATATATAACTGCATATATAAATTCATATATTAGTATATTTAAAGTATAATTTATACAGACAAGTGACAAATTAAAAGAAAATCTTGAATCTTTGATCCCTACAGTAAGGGGATCTGGTGGCTCCTTCATGTTGTGGGGGCCATTTTGGTGCTATGGTTTAGGTTCCCTTGTCCTGGGGTCTGTTTCACAAAGCAGGTTTAGTGAAAACTCTGAGTCTGTTAACCCTGAAATGAGGTAAACTCTGAGTTTTCCATTTCACAGAGGGAGGTAACTCAAACCAGAGGAAGAGGGGTAACTCTAGCCTGTTTCACAGAGAGAGCTAACTTAAGACCTCAGTCAGTTACCGTAGTAACAGATTCTATGAACTTAACATGGCATGTCCTTTTAATAATGATCCCTTGGATGAAGGTGCAGCATTATTAAATATTCGTCAGGAGATGGTTATCAGACCGTGCATAGATGTTCTAGCATTTCCAGACAGTTATGTTTTTAAGCGGAACCATTTCACAGTCCATCAGTGATGTGCGGTCAGGGAAAGAAAAAAAAAAAATCTAATGATAAAATAATTTAAATGGTTATATTTATCCAGTAATTTATACTATAAAGTATTTAGTTTTTCATTTAGCCTCACCAATTTTGATGATTTTTTAAAAAAAAAAGTCAAAATCGCTGAATTTTTGCAATTTCCAAATGCTTGGAAGAGACGCCGGTGAGGCAGCAGCGAGCTGAGCCTCACCTTGGATTGTGCAATCCCTCGCTAACTGCGTTGGCTGCCATGCACTGACAGCGTAATGCTGTCTGGATGTCGACAATAAAACAGTTCAAACACATTTAATATATGAATTGATTTTCTATAGTTCAGCTGATGTATATAATCATGTACAGTGGGGTTTTTTTTGTTACCAACCTTATGTGTGTAACGTGTTTCGTGTGCTGAGCGATCATAAACGGCTGAGAAGAGGTTCTATGTGAGGTGCCTCATCGCAGGGGGCACTTGTGATCCCAGACATGCTTCTTGTGACTCCATGGCTGCCGAGTAAGTGACAGCAACTTAGCAGCTTCAAATCAAATCAGGTTTATTGTCATTTTATAGCACATACACTGTCGTACAGGCGAGATGAAACAGCGTTTCTTCAGGATTATTCATTCAGCAAGTTTTGCAGAATGCACGCCTGGGATAAGGCACTAAACGTTCACTGTCGCTGTCTCCTGAAGGGGCCACTGCGTCCATGCGTGCCACCATTCGTTGAACATGGTGAACCTCTTCAGGTCCTGGTAGGTCTTCAGGGACACAAAGACACACACGATGGTGTGACAATGGTGAAGACGCAGATGCTGTCCAGAGCTAGCTGTCTGTCTGTCCGTCTTGAACAATGTCATCCCCTCAGGCTGTATGTCCATCTGGGATGTTGTCATGGAGCCATGTTTCTGTTAAAGCAAACACACAGCAGTCCCTCCACTCTGCGGGTTTCTCTCAGCAAACATAGCTCGTCCAGCTTGTTGTTGAGGGGGTGGACATTGGAGAGTAGGAGCAACGGTCCTGCTGGTCTGGCCTTTAGCATGAATCCTGGCTCTCTTCCTCCTCCTTTGTTTACGTTCGTACCACGTGTGTGAGCGACACACCCGTGCAGCGTGTGTGTCGCTCACACACGCTGCACACGCACACATTCGTAACACTGAAACACTTTATTGTTGCTTTTAATTGTTTATTACTGTTCTTATTGGCTTGCTTTATTTATTTTTAATGTGTCGTCTTTTTCGGGGGATTGAACAGAGTAAGAATTTCATTGTGTAGTACAACTACCTGTTTTGCTGTGCATATGACAATAAAACTCTTGAATCTTGAATCTTGAATCTTGAATTTGTGCTTCCTTCTCTCTCGGGTAACTGTCAGCATAGTCTCCGATAGGACTCCGTGTTGGTGTGGTATGTCCAAATCACAACTGATGGCCGCAACTCCACCGCCGTTCACGCCCAACAAAGTCTCCCGGCCACAAGTTTTGCGGAATGAACATCTTGGATAGACAAGACACTCAAAATGTTCAATTTCGTTGTCTCCTGAAGTGGTCGCTGTGTCTATGCACCGCCATCCCCATGACAAGCTGACAGAAAAGTAATGGATATTTTTGTCCAGAAGAAGCGGTGCATGGGCTTCATTTATAAGTAAAGGTAAGGCTGCAGTAACGTTAATTTTTTTAATGAAATGTGCGTGAGTAAGGCAACTGTATGCAGGGCGGTCAGAAAAGTGTACCTCACCCTGAAACAGCTTTTACCATCTTTGTCGTTTTCCCTGGACATAAACCTGTCAGAACCATCAAGGAGGAGTTCCACAGGATTGCAGGTGAATGATGTAGATTATAGTTAATTTAATTTTAAATTATGTTCTGTTCATGACGTGGTGCTGCAACCTCAGACTTGAACAGTGTTTTTATATTTCATCTTAAGCTAGAATAGAATAGAATAGAATAGAATAGAATAGAATAGAATAGAATAGAATAGAATAGAACTTTATTGATCCCTTTGGTGGAAGCCTCAGGGAAATTGTTGTACTAGCAACCAACACAACATTAGTAATAATAGTAATAATAGTAATAATAATAATAGTAATAAATAATAAAGCTTCTGCCAAGTGCGCTTTTCCCCCCACCAGATTGCACCTAAATGAAATAAATTAGTAGGCTGCCATTAAAGCAGTTTTCCTGTAATATTATTGTGATTGCAAAGGAAAACATTTAAACTTAGGCATTGACCTGAGCAGCAATGTTCTCCATGCTGTCTCCCTCTGTGTTGCAGCTGCAGCGGTGTTGCACTTCTTTTTAAAAACGCGTTCAAACTTGCCGTATGAGTGCATTAAGATTTCCAATTCTAGTGAGGTGAAAAACACAGCCCTCCGCTTCCCTGTTGCCATGGTAACTTGTCGAATCAGGGCTCCACTGATGCTGGCTTTTTATAGTTGTGGTGCACGCGCTTAACTCCAGGTGAAACTACTCTGAGTTGATTAAACTAACTCAAATCCGCTGTTCTGGACCCGGAAACTCAGAGTTTCCTATCTCAAAGTAGAGCAACTCAAAGTTCAGGATTAGACTCAGAGTTTGTTGAACCTGCTTCGTGAAATGGACCCCTGAAGGTTCACTCCAAAACAAAGATGTTGTAAGTGTTCACCTGCATCCTATGATGGAAACATTTTTATCCTGATGGGAGTGGTCTCTGGATAACAATGCTCCAATCCACAAGGCACAAGGGTTCTCTGAACAGTTTCATGAAAATGATGTGAATTATATGCTGTGACCTTCACAGTCAATAGATCTCAACCCATCTGACACCAATGTGAGATTTTGGACTGATGTGTTAGACACCACTCTTCACCACCATCACCAA